GAGCAAGACGAGGAGAAGTAGGACGAGGATAGGAGGGCGAGGTCTAAGGGAGCGAGGAAGGGGAGAGGGGAGGGAGGAGGAGAAGGAGGAGGAGGAGGAGGAGGAGGACGAGGATAGGAGGGCGAGGAGGAGGAGGAGGAGGAGGAGGAGGAGGAGGAGGAGGAGGAGGAGGAGGAGGAGGAAGAGGAGGAGGAGGAGGAGGAGGAGGAGGAGGAGGAAGAAGAAGAAGAAGAAGAAGAAGACGGAGAAGAAGAATAAGAAGAAGAAGAAGAAGAATAATAACAACAAGAAGAAGAAGAATAATAATAAGAAGAAGAAGACGAATAATAATAAGAAACATAAAAATAAGAGTAAGAATAATAAGAAAAATAATAAGAAGAGGAGGAGGAGGAGGAGGAGGAGGAGGAAGAGGAGGAGGGGGAAGAGCAGGAGGAGGAGGAGGAGGAGGAGGAGTGGAGGGGAGGACGAAGAGGAGGAGGAGAGGAGGAGGAAGAGGGAGGAGGAGGGGGATGTGAGGAGGACGGGGGAGGAGGAGGAGGGAGGAGGAGGAGGAGGAGGAGGAGGAAGAGGAGGAGGAAGAGGAGAAAGAAGGAAGGAAAGGACGAAAAGGAGGAGGAGGAGGAGGAGGGGGAGAGGAAGGGGAGGGGGAGGAGGCGGAGGAGGAGGAGGAGGCAATTTCGAGCCGTTTTGAAACGGTGTAGGGGCCTCTTGGGGCATGTCGGGGGGAACCATATCTAGCCAGTTTGGACTATCTTGAGCCATCTTGGAGGTCATCCTTGGCTCTCTGAGGCCACATGGGGGCCACTGGAGGGCCTATTGGGGGCCTCCCGGGGGCCTCTTGGAACCCTCTTGGGGTTTCTTGGGGCGCTCGTGGGATCCTTTTGGCGGCCTCTTGTGAACCCTGAAGGGCCTCTAAGGACCATTTTGGAGGTGGTCGGTCAAAACAGGGGGGGGGGGTCCTAGATTTGCGCCCCCTCTCTGGGGCCAAAGGTCCCCGTGAAGGGTGTCAGTCATTGGCCCTCCCAATGGCCGAAGAAGGAGCCTCCGACACCTCGCGAAACCTTTCTAAAGAAACCTCGGGGAGGTGAGGGGGAGGGTTCCCCTCCCCGGACGGAAGAGGGATTGTGGAAAAGAAGAGAGAGAGAGAGAGAGAGAGAGAGAGAGAGAGACCCTCCTTGAACCACCTGTCGCCCAGAGGGCTGGCGGGATTGCGCCCGTGTGTGTTCATGCATTATGCTTTCCAAAGTGTCTACCACGTGTTCTTCTAAGTGCTTGCATGGTCCGCACACCGAATGATCGAACCGCGCCCAAGTTTCGAACCTCTTCGCGCTACATCATGTCCTTTGCGCTCCAGGGGCCACGGCTGAAGCGAGCGCGCGCTCACGTGTTGTGCGCTGTGTTGCTGAACTTCTTCCGTTGCACCACCATTGGGTTTAGGCCGCGAGTGCGTTTTAATCTCATAATATCTGCATGAGACGAATCGAAATCCAGGATTGCAGAAAGATTGCAGAAAAAACCAAGGATTGCAGAAAAAAACCGAAGGATTGCACAATCCTTAGGTTTTTTCTGCAACCCTTCGATTCCTCAGAGCGACGCTGCAGACGTCAAGCCTCACAGCCTGGACTCTCCGCCGCCGTTCTGGCTCTGACAAGGGCCTCGGCCCTTCTGATGCTCTGCAGCGCGGCGCACGTGCTGGTATTTGAACGCGTTCCCCTACGATTCGGCCACGCGCAAAAGGGGGGTCGGGGGGAGGAGGCAAGGCTTTTGGAACAAAAAAAAACATGTTTTTTAGAAGTCGCGGGCCTCCTCTGCAGATGCACGGCCGGCGCCTTCTGAGAAGCAGCCTCCTTCGAAGAGGCTTTCCCCCCTCCCCTACCCCCCTCTGCGCGCCGCCAGACGATTTCTCGTGATCAGCCGGAGTCCCACCAGAGTCGGTGGTAGCGGCGCTGGCATCAGCTCCCTCGCGGGTCGCCAGAGCGCCAGACGCAGTGGAACGCGCCCACGAACGCAGTGGAGGCACCTGCGATCAGCGAAAAAGAACATCGAGTTCCAGGAGAAACCCATTAGAGTCGACAGGCGCCTGCAGCCAGGTTGTGAGACGACGCCATGGGAGATGAAGAGAAGTTCGATCGACAAACCGAACACGGCCGTGTGGCCCCCCTCGCGGGACGTCTTGCTGGCAGCGGTGCGAATCGTGGCGGGCACGCCCCGCCGCCCAGCACCAAGACTCGTCGATCGAGGAGCTGCGACGCGATGTGCGCCGCTCGGGGCTGCCAAAAGACCAGAGGGGCCTCCATGCGTACCGCCAGATCTCTTGGACGGAGGCGACGACCAGATCCAGAACATTGCAGACGTCCTGGACCTGGGGGGCGTCGAGGACACGGGCTGCGCAGAGTCGATCATCAGGGCGCTGGAGGCCGAGATCCGACCCAAGAGTTTGCACGAGAAGCACACGGAGTTTGAACGCATTTTTTCGGTGCCGCGCGGAGGAAGAACGATACTTTGCAGCAGCATTCGATGAAGATCAAACATGCTTTCGGCAGGATCAGGAAGCTGCAGGTTACTTCTGGCGACGCGCAGGGCTTCTTCCTCAAGTGTTAGGCGAAGTTAGAACACCTGATCCTGCAGACATCCGGCCCCTTGTTCAACGAAGATGTCAGGGTGGCGCCGAAAAGCCTCCGCGACGACAGCCCCCCAGAAAGGCGACGACGGAGGCGGGCGACCGACCGAGGCGTTCCAGAGGGACGAAGAGGAGGATCCAGAATATCACTGCGACGACCCATCGCACAGGCGCCGCTGGCGTTCGGGGGGTCGGAACCCGCCGCCGCGAACGAAACGTTGCATTGAGTGGGGGGTGCGCATGCAAACGCCGCCACTGGGGCCTTCGGTGGACCACGACGTTGTACTGGGCGGGGGAGACGCACGCGAACACCCCAGCTGAGGCCTTCGGTGGACCTCCACATGGGGCCACGAAGTGCTGTACTGGGCGAAGAGACGCATGCGAACACCGCAATTGAGGCCTTCGGTGGAGCTCCCCATGCGGCCTCGAAACGCTGACTGGGCGGCGGGCGACCACCGCAACTGGGGCGTTCGGTGGACCTCCCTACGGGGCTACGAATCGTTGCACTGAGGGGGGGAAATGCATGCAGACACCGGCAGTCGGACCTCGGTAGAGCTTCCTGTGGGGACACGAAACGCTGCACTGGGTGAGGGAGACGCATGCGAGAACCGCCACTAGGGCCTTCGGCGGGGTGCCCTCTGGGGCCACGAAGCGTTGTATTGAGCGGGGGAGACGCATGCGAACACAGCCACTGGGGCCTTCGTTGGGGCTTCATTTTGGCACGAAGCGCTGTACTGAGTGGCGGAGGCGCCACCGCCGCTGGGGCATTCGGTGGACGTCCATGTGGGGACACGAAACGCTGCACGTGGCAGGGGAGGCGCATGCGAACACCGCCACTGGGGCCTTCGGTGGAACCCCCATAGAAGCAACGAGGCGTTGCATTGTGGGGGGGGGACGCATGCGAACACCCACTGAAGCCTTCGGTGAAGTTTCTTGCGGGACCACGAAACGTGTGAGGGGAGTGTCGACATGTTTGGCGATGATGGTGACGATAACGGCGATGATGCTGACGATGATGGTGATGATGACGATGATGGCGAGGATGGTGATGATGAGGACGTGGATGAGGATGAGGGTGAGGATGAAGACGAGGATGATGATGATGGGGGACGGAGTAGGGGGGAGGAGGAAGAGGAGAGGAGAGGAGGAGGAGGAGGAGGGAGAGGATAATAATAATAATAATACGAATACTAATACTAATACTAATACTTATACTAATAATAATAATAACGTTGGGCATTGTTTCTACAAAACGAATACCCTACACCACAGGAAGGCCAGAAATGTTTGAGGATACTGTAGGTGTGTCCACATCTTCTTCACATTCGACCCAACTGGCCTTTCGCGCCGCATGGCGAAATCATTCGAAGGCCCTTTGCGCGCGTGCTGGGGGGGGGGCGCGGTCTTTGTCAAAAAAGATTATGCGGGCCACTCGCGCGCGTCGGCCGCGCGCACATGTCGAACTCCTTCCAAAACCTTCATCACCGACGCGAGCACACCATCATCCTCATCGGCATGATCAATTCCGGCGCCGTCATTGGCCTTGCCGTCGTCATCGCCATCATCGCCACCATCATCGCTATGAGCATCATCGTGCCTACCGTTGTCGGCGTCGCCATGATACCGCGCCCGCCCAACTCACCGACTCTCACTGAAGCGCCCAGCGGTCGGCGCCACCGCGGCCGCGCCGGTCGTGCCAAACTGGTTGGCCGTGATGCGCGCGGGAATGCGAGGGCTAGCGCGGCCGCAGAGATGCACCACCCAACACCAAACATCGCAATCGCCGCCGCATGGGTTTTGCGTGGGATGACTGCGCCAGCAATGGAGCTGACAGCTCCCAATTTTTCCAAATGGTTTCCACCACATCGACTGCACAGCATACGTTGCTCCACGTAGATTGCACCACATCGGTTGCACCGCATGAATTGCGACACGTATATTGCACAACATATGCTGCAAATCGCAGATTTGTCACCACATAGAGTGCGCCACATCGACGGCGCCACTTAGATTGCACCACCTAGGTTGCTCTACGTTGATAGCACCACATAGTTTGTTAGAAACACACTCGTTTGGGTCCCATGTTGGCTAAGATCTATACATATGTCTAATTCGTGGACCAAACTAGTGGATCATTACCAGAGGCATGGATACCTTCGTGATACATTATGAGCGGGTGCTCGTTTGAATTATCATGTATACTTTGACAGGCGAAGTCCCTTGAAGAGTACAAGGTAAGAATCCATTGGAGGTGTGGTTGGACGGGTCGTGCAAAAAGAGGTGGGAGTCTTTGAGTCCCCGAATGTGCCTGCACAGGGATATGTCTTGCGATATGCCCTCGTCCCTTTTGCGGGCCGGCGTGCGAAGCTTCATTCGCCAGGTGTTGCAGCTGCGGAGCCTCTTCACCAGAGTTTCCCCAGCAGAGCTCGCGAAGGCCGCTCACGGGAGAGACAAAGGAAAAGAGAGTGTGAGACAGAGTCGAGGGGTTGGTTGTAGAGTACAGAGGGTGCCATAGCAGGAAGTGGCGATGGCTTCCTATGGACCGGGCATCCTGCTCCATCCGTACGGAATGGCATGCTGGAGCATTGTAAGAAGCGGCCGAGATTATCATAGCAGGGCTTGCAAACTCGGGGATGCTCTCTTGGAGCATCCTGCGCGCTTGACAGACTCGGTCCCACTACGTCATGTTACACGATGGGCGTTGGGCGAAGCACGGCACGTTTTAGCAAGACTTCATCAGCGTCCCTCTTCCAGCATAGAGTTGGACACGCGACCTTCCCGATGCTGGAAGTGGGGAGACAGAAGGGCGCATGCAGGACATGAGAGCCGAGCCCTGCGTACAAAGACCACCCGAGGGGGGGCGACCGCTCGACCGTCCGCGCACGCCAGGCAGGGGAGTCCCTCGAGTCTGCCGCGTATCGCCGTCACGCCATGAGATAAGCGCGAGTGCAGCACGACGAGGCGAGGTGGCCTCTATGAGACTGGCAATCCTCAGATCAAGTCGTCCACATTGGGTGAGCGAGGCACCAGTGGTGGGGTACTCCAGAATTCGTCATAAAAGGCAGGGGGTCTGGACCCTCCAAGACAAGCCATTTCAGACCTCCCCCGTGGGAGAACCCTCCAAAACATCGTCCCCAGACCCCCCCAGGCCCTCCAAGATAGCCTGGAAGAGACCCCCCCCCCGAAATGAGACCCCCCTCCCTTTATTACGAAATCTGGAGTACAATCAGTGCGTATCGTCATCCAGCTCCTCCGCGGTATTCGTATCCCTCCTCGCTTCAGGCGACGACGCCACCGAGATCGAGCCGCACGCTGGCAGGGTGAGCGCGTCGACTGAGGCGGAGCGGCTTGGGCAGAAGGATGCGTGTAGGTTCTTTTTGCTTGATCAGTTGCGTTGCCTCTTCGACTTGCCGAGACGTTGGTCCCAAACATGTGTATGCATAGAGAGACAGTGTGCATCGGCATATCTGTATACAGATATTGTAGACAATATGGAACATGTGCACGTAATCATGTAATATATATATGTATATATATATATATATATGTATATATACATATATATATATATATAAATATTTAATATATATATTATATATATATATATATAACGGCGCACCGGGTCTGGGGGCCCGGGGCCGGGACCTCGACCACAAATGTGGGCCCCGGGGGGCCCGGAGGCTCGTCGGGGCTTGCCGGAGGCCTCCCCGGTCAGACAAGACGGCCCCAGAAGCGCCCAAGACGGCCCAAGAAACTTCCAAGAGGCCTCCAAGAGGGCTCCGAGATGCTGAAGATGGCCTCCAGACGTCCAAGGACGCCCCCAAGAGGCCCCAAGAAGCCTCCAACATGCGTCCCAAGAGGGCCCCTAGACGCAAAAAATTGCCCATTCCCTTCGTAAAACGTACATTTTCAACAAAGTTGTCTTTTGGGCTTTCCGACGTTACAGGACGGCCCAAGAGGCGCCCAAGACCGCCCCAAGACGGCCCAAGAAGCTTCCAAGAGGGCCCCAGGACAGCCCAAGAGGGCCCCAAGACGGCCCAAGAGGCGCCCAAGATGGCCCAAGAGGGCCCCAAGACGGGCCCAAGAGGGGGCCCAGAGGGGGACCACGAACCGCAAGCTCGAGCCTTCCGCCCCAAGAGGCCGCCAGGAGGCCCCCAGGAGGCCCCTCAAGAGGCCCCAGGAGACCCCCAAGAGGCCCAAAGGAGGCCCCGAGAAGCCCCAAATCGGCCCCCACAATGCTTCGAACCTGCTTCCAGGAGGCCCCCGACAGGTTCAGAGGCTCCCAAGAAGCTACGTCAAACTCCCAGCGAGCGGCCGGACGAGGCCCCCCAAAAAATCCCAAGAGGGTTCCAGTATTTGTATCCTTCAGCGCTCTCTGGCCTTCTTCCCCCTGCCCCCTTCCCTGCGACTTTCGTTGACTCAAGCTCGCCTCCTCTCCATTTCCTCTCTCTGCCTCTCTCTCTCTCTGTCTTCTTCTCTCTCTCTCTCTCTCTCTCTCCATCTCTCTCTCTCTCTCTCCTTCGCTCTCTGTCTGTCTGTCTATCTCTCTCCCTCTCTTTCTCTCTCTTTCTCTTTCTTCCTTTCAGATTCCGTGTCCTTGCGACCTTCTGCAGTCCCCGACGTCGCCACGGCTGGATCCGCTCGAGCGTGTCTTGTGATGTGCGGCGGTGCGAAGCCCGTCCCACTGATCAAGGCACAGGTACGAAATGATGGGTCCATCATTTCTTGCCTTCCCATGTGCGTTTTCCCAATCGATTCCTGGGCCCGAGGTCGCAAAAATTAATCGTCGGAGGTCTGGGGAGGCGGGAAGCACGACCTGGACCTCCGACGTCTTGGACAAAATCACGACGGCGGTTTCGGTCAATTTTCGGCCTCCGGGGCCCCTCGCAGGGTCCCGGGACCGTCAGAAAACGACTCAGGATGAAAAAAAAAACATCCCCAGGAAGTCGTCGAGAGGTCCAGGGGCCGCGCACAGAGAGCATCACGACATCGGACGTCCAGAGAGGAGGTAGGAACACGAGGAGGGAGCCCAGACCTCCTGGCGACGCAACACCAAAGACAACAAAAGCTTCCCCGCGACTTCCCCCAGAGACTCTAACTACAGAAACTCCTTTCGTATTTCGGCCAGAAGCATCCAGAAACGATGTACATTAGCCCTGGCGGGGGGAATGATGGCGATGGTGATGTTCATGATGACGACGGTGACGATCCTAGCTAGAACCTAAGCGCGCGCGAAGCGCGCGCGTGGTTCTAGTATGTATATATATATATATATATATATATAGACCCTCCCGTGGCATCATACATCTCTCTGCTTATCCCTTGGGTATTAGTATTATTTGTCGCTATCTCCCTGTATACTATATATACTCACCTGTTTTATATATATATATAGATACACATTACTCGCTCTCTCTCTCTCTCGCTCTCTCTCTCTCTTTTCTCCTGCAGGAGCGACTGTGGAAAAAGATGTGCCTCGAGGCGGTAGTGCACATGAGGTCCGTTTGGGGCGGCCTTACACAGGGTGCAGGAGTTGTTCTCTGGAGGGAGCCATGATGAAATACATATATCCTTGGTGTGTTTGGTAGTCGTGGTAAGGGAACCCTACGTTTAACAAAGCACTATTCTCATGCTATGGTTGGAGGTGGTTGTTAGGAAACCGTGTAAAAACACAGATATGCTTGATATGTTTTAGTTATCTGGGGAACGGCACTCCTCCTGCTCCCCCAACCTCCCTGCAGCGCGTCCGTACCAAGAAAATTTGGACATAGCATGAATGCTTGTGTTATCACAAGGTTTCCTTGCGGAAACCTCGGGTCGGAAAAAGGAGATCGGAGCGATTAATACGGAGTCAGAGCCTCTCGGATGGGATAGGTGTAGCAGATCGTTGCACGGGGTGTCATGGTTTGGTGTTTGGTGGTACGAGCGCACAGATCACACAACGCAGTTGCTTTTCTTCCAGAAAACCAGCGGCCATTACAGAGTTCTGTATCATATGTAAGTGGCTTGGGGTATGGCCTGCAGCAGAATGTTGTGACTCATTTCCTAGACTCCACGCTGGTGTACAGGGCGCAGTGTGCTGCTGGCGCGGCCCTCTGTGGGCCTCTGAGGTATATGGCTGTGGAGGTGGGGAAGCGTTGCTGCAAGCCCGTCTCTCCTGGGGTCCCGCCTGTGTTAAATTGCGTACGCAGCTACCAGAAACGGAAGCGAGACCGATCTTCACATGATGCTCGAATTGAACACCCGATGCTCAGTGACAAGGGGGGGCACAGATCCTGCCGCCCCCCCCGCGCATCTTGCCTCGTGTCCCCGAGCGCGTTCCACGATTCGCAAGCTGTCGACTCGCAAACGTCAGAACAAACAAACCCACGCTCGCCTCGATGCAATCGATCGCAAATCTCCCACGGCGGATCCAGACCACTTGCGAGCAGTGACTGTGCGAGTTGGGTGGGGGCGTTGATTAAAGAATGTGCCCAGGAGGCGTCAGACCCCGGAGGATTCCTTATCTGATGAGGGCCGCGGTGATATCCACAGCCGGTCCACGATTGGAGTTCCACCGGCTTCCAGACCCTGGCTTCCTAGTCTAATGGTTTCGAATTTCTAGGCCGCGCAGGCTCTGAGGTTTGGACTAGCCACCACAAGGGTTGCCTACGCTGGCTGGTCTCGCTGGCGCACTGGCCCCAGGCGCGGCTGGCTAGGCACCAGGAGGGCATCACCCCCCTCTGCCTGCAGTGCCAGTACGACGAGGGCACGATGTTCCACAGGCGCTTCGTTTGCCTCGCGCGGCAGGCGTGGCGCAGGGACAGGTTGCCTCTCCGCCTCCTGGAGGCGGCCCATGTGGCTAACAGCATGGGGCCGCTCTTCGGCGAGCTGTTCGCGCAGGGCCTGTTCGTGGACGCCTCCAGCCTGGTGCAGAGGCCGCGCTGGCAACCGCAGTGGGCTTGGCGACACATTGGTTGGGAGAGCCCCATGGTTTCTCCAGAGGGCACGATGGTGTTCACCGACGGCTCCTGCATCCACGGGAAGTTCCTTACACTGCGCAGCGCGGGCTGGTCGGTCATCGTGATCTCGCCCTGCGGCCAGGTGTTGGCCCAGGCGTGGGGCGCCGTTTCGCTTGAGCTGCTGCCGAACCAGTCGGCACGAGCAGGCGAGGACTACGCGGCGGTGCTGGCGCTGAAGGACATCGTGGGCTCCTACACGATCTGCAGCGCCTACAAGGGCACCGTGGACTGTATCAGGGACCTGGCCAGAGCCTGCCGCCCCACCTCCTTGCATGCCCACCTCCGGGCTCGAGTGGGCGACGCAGCGGAGGGGCTCTCGGCTAAGCACATCCTTGCCCACACTTCAGAGGCAGCGGTGACCGCAGGCAAAATTACCGCCCTGGAGCGCGACGGCAACTTGATCGCCGACAAGCGCGCCAAGGAAGGGGCGGCCCTGCAGGCGGCGTCGGACGATGATGTCCTGGCTCTGGAAGGCTTGCACTCGCGGGCCCGAGAGGCCGCGCGCTTCGCCGCCGAGATGGAGGCCCACATCTCGGACAGCGGGTGCCGCGACTGCTGGCCCGTCGAGGCGCTCGACGTCCTCGACCTCGGCTTCGTGGGCGACGACGCGCTGGAGATGGCCGAGGCGGAGACCAGCACTGCGCATCGCCCTGGTGCGGCGGCTGCGGGCGCGGCTGCACTGACGGCGGTAGCTGCGGCGAGCGCGGGGCCGAGCGCAGCCAGCGCCCCGCAGGTGAAGACGAAGACGACTGGCAATGTAGCCGCGGCTCGCACGGCTTGCAAAAGGCCGTGGGCGACGAGACGCCAGGTGAGGTCATGCGCAGGGTCGCCTGCAGGCTCCAGCACGAGAGAGAGAGAGCAGTTGGCGCAGACGGCCCCGCCTCGACCAGCTGGCGAAGACTTGGCACGGGATGCTCAGACTGCTGGCATCCAGTCGGCGGCGCGCCAGCCTGCAGCGGTTGCGCCAGCCCCGCCCGCGCTGGGCGCCGCCGACAGCATCCCAGCAGGCCGCCTCGGGCCGTGGGAGGTCCACGGGCACATGCTGATGCAGGGCCAGGTGCTCAGCATGAGCTCAGCAGGTGCTCAGCATGAGCACGTGCACCTCGTGTTACCTGTACGCGAGGGCGCCCAGGATGGCGTGGCATGGCCTGCGAGACCCGCGCGGGGGCGCCGACAAGCGGGCCAATACAGGGTCGCGGGCCCAGGCACGCAACGACCTGGGCAAGACCCTGCTGCCTGGGACCAAGGAGCCCATCGGCGCCCTTCAGGCCCCGACGGCGGCTACGCGCCAGCGCTGGGCCGAGAAGCTGGGCACCAACGCAGGAGCGGGAGGCGCGGCGGGGGAGACCGCCAGCGAGCTTGCAAGCGCGGGCGTCGGCGCCCAGGCTGGCGGAGGGGCTGCGGCCAGCGCGGTGGCCGCGGGGCCCGCGCGACAGGCGCCTGCGGTGGGAGCTGCCGGCGGCGCTGCAAGGCAGCGGCCAGGCGGCGAGACGCTCATCGTGCCGCCGCTCGAGAGCGTAGCCAGGTCGCACGGCTTCGCGACCCTGGAGGAGGCGCGAGACCACGGGCGCCTGGCTCGCGAGCAGAGGGCGGCGGCGGCGCGCGGGGACAGTGGGCCCCAGGAAGACCAGCCCTAGGCGAGGGGCTTGTTCCTGGGGGCCCCGCCCGCGCCTCTGTGCATGATATTCGTATCACGGGTGGGTCCGCTCATCCTCGAAAAGTTAAACAAATGCCTTCACCGTGGTGGAGCGCGCTCGCCTCGACGTAATTGATCCCGAATCCCCCGCGGCAGTTCCAGGCCAATTGCGAGCGGTGACTTTGCGAGTAGCGGAGCGCGCTTGCCTATCGTCGTGGCCCCGTTGGAAGGGAGGTCGGAAGCTATCGCTGCTGCCGCTCGGGCAAGGAATGCCCCCCCCCCCCCCCTCGCGGTCTCCACTCCTCGCCCTGCCCCCCCCCCCCCCCCCCCCGAGTGGAGAAAAGGATGGGGGAGGGAGGAGGAGAGGGAGGGAGGGAGGAGGAGGAGGAGGAGGAGGAGGAGGAGGAGGAGGAGGAGGAGGAGGAGGGGAGGAGGAGGAGGAGGAGGGGAAGGAGGAGGGGAAGGAGGAGGGAGGGAGGGGGGGAGGAGTGAGACAGGGAGGAGGGGGGGGGGAGGAGGAGGAGGAGGAGGAGGAGGAGGAGGAGGAGGAGGAGGAGGAGGAGGAGGAGGAGGAGGAGGGAGGAAAAGGAGGAAAACGACGCTGCGTCCAGGCTGGAGTGCCTCCTCGGTTTGAGGACGTTTGGAGAGCCCTAGCCACCAATTGGGCACAGTGGATGGGTCAGCGCATGAGGATCCCAGCTACCTTCCGCGAGGCCAAGCTCGCCAGGCCAGTTTCCGGGGTCGCGCGACTTGAACAACGGCAAACCGATTTGGAGCCCTTACACGCTTCACTTAAGCAGCGCAACCCTGACATGATCGCGTCGTGAGATCATCAGGATGGGAGTTTTTTGTGTATGTTCGGCCCCTGGGGGCCCTCGCCGGGCCTCGAGGTCGTCAAAAAACGGCTCGGCATACAAGACCGGTCTCGGGGAAAGGGTGCTGACTTCTGGGGACGCCGCACTGAAATTACGCTACCGAGGAACCCCACATATTTGATTCAAATTTGATGTGTTCGCTTAACTCGTCGCGAATGTTCCCCTTTGTGTCATCCAACGCCATATTGCTTGAGCCTCCTCCCTCTTCCTAGCCTTCTATCCTCCATCGAGGACAGATTCGAGCCAACCAGCGGCCGCGGTGAGGGACCACCCCCTGCGCACCCCCTCTGGTGTCGAGAAAGTGCCACGCCTGCTATGCTTGGACGACCGTCGTGCATAGCGGCCGCGGTGAGAGACCACCCCCTGCGCACCCCCTCTGGTGTCGAGAAAGTGCCACACCTGCTATGCCTGGACGGCCGTCGTGCACAGCGGCCGAGCTCAGGGACCACCCCTTGCGAACCCCCTCTGGTGTCGAGAAAGTGCCACGCCTGCTGTGCCTGGACGACCGTCGTGCATAGCGGCCGCGCTCAGGGACCACCCCCTGCGCACCCCCTGTGGTTTCGACACAGTGCCGCGCCTGCTGTGCCTGGACGACCGTCGCGCATAGCGGCCGATCTCAGGGACCATCCCCCGCGCACCCTCTATGGTGTCGAGAAAGTGCCACGCCTGTTGTGCCTGGACGACCGTCGTGCATAGCGGCCGAACTCAGGGACCACCCCTGCGCACCCACCATGGTGTCGAGAAAGTGCCACGCGTGCGATGCCTGGACGACCGTCGCGCATAGCAACCGAGCTCACGGACCACCCCCTGCGCACCCCCTCTGGTGTCGAGAAAATGCCACGTTTGCTGTGCCTGGGCGACCGTCGAGCATAGCGGCCTCGCTCAGGGACAATTCCCTGCGCACCCCCTCTGGTGTCGAGAAAGTGCCACGGCTGCTATGCTTGGGCGACCGTCGTGCATATCGGCCGAACTCAGGGACCACCCCCTGCGCACCCCCTGTGGTGTCGAGACAGTGCCACGCCTGCTGTGCCTGGGCGACCGTCGAGCACAGCAGCCGAGCTCAGGGACCACCCCCTGCGCACCCCCTGTGGTGTCGAGAAAGTGCCACGCGTGCTATGCCTGGACGACCGTCGTGCATAGCGGCCGCGCTCAGGGACCACCCTGCGCACCCCCCGTGGTGTCGAGAAAATGCCACGCGTGCTATGCCTGGACGACCGTCGCGCATAGCGGCCGCGCTCAAGGACCACCCCCTGCGCCTGGACGGCCGTCGTGCATAGCGGCCGCGCTGAGGGACCACCCCCTGCGCACCCCCCATGGTGTCGAGAAAGTGCCACGCCTGCGATGCCTGGACGACCGTCGCGCGTAGCAGCCGAGCTCAGGGACCATCCCCTGCGCACCCCCTTATGGTGTCGAGAAAGTGCCACGCGTGCTATGCGTGGGCGACCGTCGCGCATAGCGGCCGAGCTCGGGGACCACCCCCTGCGCACCCCCTGTGGTGTCGACACAGTGCCACGCCTGCTGTGCCTGGACGACCGTCGAGCATAGCAGCCGAGCTCACGGACCACCCCCTGCGCACCTCCCGTGGTGTCGAGAAAGTGCCACGCCTGCTATGCCTGGACGGCCGTCGTGCATAGCGGCCGAGCTCGGGGACCACCCCCTGCGCAACCCCTGTGGTGTCGAGACAGTGCCACGCCTGCTGTGCGTGGGCGACCGTCGTGCATAGCGGCCGCGCTCAGGGACCACCCCGTGTGCACCCCTTGTGGTGTCGAGAAAGTGCCAAGCCTGCTGTGCCAAGCGAGAAGGAGAAGGGGATGGGGGAGGTGAGACGCGGGTGCGGCGCGGCAGGGAAGAAAACCATAACCCCACGAAACATGTGGGGAAACATCTGGGCGTCGCATGTTTGGGAATGCGAAGCCGCACGATCGTGCTCGTGCTCGTGCTCGTGCGCGTGCTGTGTGGCCTCGCCCTTCCAGCGGTCGCTCCTAGATCCCCTTGCAAAAGCCGACCTCGCGGGGTAATTCGTGCGGCAGTGGCCTGAGGCGTGCTCGGCCCAGGCATTGATCTGATGTGGAGTTTCTTACTAAGCGCGGGGGGTACCCCCTGACGGAGTTCAACGTCGCCTCGTCGTCGCGCCGCAACGGGGGTCGGAGCGCCTTCGGCGCGCGGTGGCTGCCCGCGACGGGGGTCGATGTGGGGCTGTCGGCGGGGGTGACGCTCCCCCGACGCTGGTCAAAAAGCTCGGAGTAAGCTCGACGAGTCGACCCGATCGGCCAAGAAGAGCCGAACCGAGTGGGCTCGAAGCCTCGAGCTCGCGCGGCCCCCTCCGAGACCGTGCGGGCCCGCTGGAGGCGTGCGAGATCGGCGGGGTGGCGCTGACCTTCCGCGCGGCGGGCGGCGAGCCTCGGACCGCGGTCTTCGGCGGCGCCGGGGCCGAGCAGTCGCTGGGCCTGCGGGAGCGGAGGGGGTCAGGGGCAACGTTTAAGTCGGACATGTTTTTCTACAGGAAGAGTATTGAAACATAGTTTGAAACTAGTCTGGGAACGATGTTCCTATGTATATGTTGACTATGTTTGCGAGCGAGGGGGGGAGTTGAGAGGGAGAAAGCCTTCTCAGAAGGCGGCGGGGCTTCTCAGAAGCCCTCTGGCCTTCTGAGAGGTTTTCTGCGTCTTCGGGAAGGCTTAGGGAAAACTTCGCAGGAGGCCGGGGGACTTCCGAGCCTTCTGAGAAGGCCTGCCCCTTCTCTCTTTCCACCCGCGCTCGCAGCCAAATCAAGCAGGGCTGGACCTAATCATTGTTTTGCTGGACTTCGGTTGTGTTTCTCCCAACCATCTTGTGGTGGTGGGTCCTCGTTTTGAAGAGACAGCGCCCCGCGTTCCGTCCTCCTCCCGTTGCCCCCTCCCTCCTCCTCGCATCATCGTCATCATCATCATACTCATAATACTAGTAATAGTAATCATAATCATCATACTCATAATCATAATCATCACCATCATCATCATCGTCACCATCAGCATCATCAGCATCATCATCAGCATCAGAATCATTAGCATCATCATCATCATCATCATCATCATCATCATCATCATCATCATCATCATCATCATCGCCATTTTGGCTCAAGCATTTGCTTGTCCACGTGGCTTGCCAGGCGCGCCTTCGCCTCCCTGCGCTGTTTCTGCCAATGTTGTTGCTGTCAGACTGGAATGGGTTCGTCGTCAAGTGGAGAGTGGGGCTGCTGCTCACTTCGCCTGCAGCTCTTCCAAGTTGGACCAGAAGGCCAATATCGGGATCACCTTGGACTCATCGGCTCCGCCCTCTTCTCCTTCCTCGCGGTTCACGCTGCTAGCCATGATCGACACCATTAGGGAGGTGGCTGGGCGAGGTACCTCGATTGATCGTGGTCACCGTCACTCTGATGGGCGCCAAGAGGTTTGCATTTGGGTCCTCCACCCTGGTCGAGGGCCACAACAACACGACGCGGAAGATGATGATGATGATCCCCGTGATGGCCGCGATTCTCCAGATGACCCGCAATATGGCCGTCCCCCTAATCTTCAGGGACCTCCTGATCCTCGTGGGCATGACCCTTGGCAGCAACCTGACGGAGATCCTTGGGCTCCATCGCGCTGTTCAAGCCGCCCTCCTCCAAAGGCGCCGCGGAGGCGACCTGTTCACGGTGCAGCTGCTGTACGAGATCGCGAGCCTGAGAAACGTGATCATCATCCAGTTCGTTGCCGTCCGCAAGATCCGAGGCACGATCCATGGAGTTCATGGTCCAGGACTCTGCCAGTCATACCGTCCTTCCCGTTCAATGTTCGGGCCTCTGTCTTTCTTCCCGCTGTCCGTGTTCCTCATGCTGACGGTGAGCGTGCCGAACTTCCTGCTGCAGGTGATCGTGGAGTGCACCGGGACTGTGCGGTTCTTTGCTGCCGCGCAGTGCATCGTGCTGATGCTCGAGCTTCTCCTGGCGCTCCTCAGGCTTTTCCGCCGCGGGCCAAGGCGCTCATGGAATCGCTGGCTGCTCCGATTGGTACTGATGCGAATGGAGATGTTTCGGGGCCTCCTCCTGCACGGCCGTTTCGTTTTCATCATCGTCGTGTAGATACCCAGACGTTTTGGGAGATGGCGGTTGAGACTAGGTCTAGGCTCCCGCACGTGTCTGATTTGGGTCCGCGCGAGCCTCTCCGCCTCGCTTCTGTACTTCCTCTCGCCATTTGCAGCGGCAGTGTAGCTTGGGAGTCGATCGGATTCGACATGACTCGGCGCCCCATCTCTGGGCGCCTTGGAACCGACAGAGTAATCAGAGCAGAGAGAACTGCGGCGGGTTGAAAAAAAACATCAGCATCATCATCATCGCCATGATCATCATCATCTTCATCATCATCAGCATCATCATCATCATCACCGATCTCGGCACCGCCCCATTTTGGTACGTCCCATTTTGGCACCTCTCGTGGCCCCATAGGAGCTCCACCGAAGGCGCCAGTAACAAAGTTTGCATAGCGGCCTCGGGCCATTTCGGCGCACTCCTCACGAGGATCGTGCCCCCATATGAGCTCCACCGAAGGCGCCAGTGGCAGGGTTCGCATGGTGGCCTCGGGCCATTTCGGCACACTCCTCACGAGGACCGTGGCCCCATAGGAAGCTCCACCGAAGGCGCCAGTAGCAAGGTTCGCATGGCGGCCTCGGGCCATGTCGGCACACCCCTCACGAGGATCGTGGCCCCATAGGGAACTCCACCGAGGGGGCCAGTAGCAAAGTTCGCATGGCGGCCTCGGGCCATTTCGGTACACCCTTCTCGAGGATCGTGGCCTCATAGCGCGCTGTACCGAAGGCGCCAGCGGCAGGGTTCCCATGGTGACCTCGGGCCATTTCGGCACACCCCTCACAAGGACCGTGGCCCCATAGGGAGCTCCACCGAAGGCGCCAGTGGCAGGGTTCGCATGGCGGCTTCGGGCCATTTCGGCACACCCCTCACGAGGATCGTGGCCCAATAGGAGCTCCACCGAGGGCGCCAGTGGCAGGGTGCGCCAGTAGCAAGGTTCGCATGGCGGCCTCTGGCCATTTCGGCACACCCCTCTCGAGGATCGTGGCCCCCTCAAGAGCACCCCCGAAAACCCCAGTGGCAGGGCTCGCATGGCGGCCTCGGCACACCCCTCACGAGGATCGTGGCCCCGTAGGGAGCGCCACCGAAGGCGCCAATGGCAAAGTTCGCATGTCACCCCCGGTCTATTTCGGCCCACCCCTCACGAGGATAGTGGCTCCATAGGGAGCTCCACCGAAGGCGCCAGTGGCAGTCTCCCTCATGGCTCTCGGAGCCTTTCCTGCTTCTCTGCTCCTTGGTCAGGGGAACGCCGTCCTCGTCGCCGTCGGCGCCCGCGGAGACGGCCGCGAACGTGTCCCTGAGCATGCCGGGCTCCCGCGGGAAGCCGTGGCCACATAGGAAGGGCGGGCGAAGATGGTATTCACAGGTGTTGTATTCACAATTGCGTATGTTGGGTTTGTTTTCGGAGTGAGGTTCAGGAAAACATGTAGAGCAAAACGAACAACAAACCGATAACAAAATGAAGCGTTAGCTTGGCGAAAAACCCAACCATACGCAGTTGTGAATACAGCAATTGTGAATACCATTTTCGCACACGCCCTCCCTATGTGGCCACGGCTTCCCGCCGGAGCCCGACATGCTCAGGGGCGCGTTCGCGGCCGTCTCCGCGGGCGCCGACGACGACGAGGACGGCGCCCCCCCGACCGAGGCGCAGAGAAGCAGCAAAGGCTCCCAGAGCCATGGGGGAGACTGCCACGGGCGCCTTCGGTGGAGCTCCCTATCGGGCCACGATCCTCGTGAGGGGTGTGCCGAAATTGACCGAGGCCGCCACGCGAACCCTGCCACTGGGGCCTTCGGGGGAGCTCCTTAGGGGGCCACGATCCTCGTGATGGGGTGTGCCGAAATGGCCCGAGGCCGCCACGCGAACCCTGCCACTGGCGCCCTCGGTGGAGCTCCTAAGTGGCCACGATCTTCGTCAGGGGCGTGCCGCAATGGCCCGAGGCCACCACGCGAACCTTGCTACTGGCGTCTTCGGCGGAGCTCCCTATTGGGCCACGATCCTCGTGAGGGGTGTGCCGAAACGGCCCGAGGCCGCCCCGCGAGCCCTGCCACTGGCGCCTTCGGGGGAGCTCGGCAAGGATTCTTGCGAGGGGTGTGCCGAAATGGCCCGACGCCGCTGTGCGAACCCAGCCACAGGGGCCTTCGGTGAAGTTCCCTGTGGGGCCACGATCCTCGTGAGGGGTGTGCCGAAATGGCCCGAGGCCGCCATGCGAGTTCTCCCTATTGGACCTCAGGTGGAGCTCCTTATGGGCCCACGAAGCGTGCCGTGTGAGGGGTGTGCCGACATGGCCCGAGGCCGCCATGCGAGTTCCGCCACCGTGACCTCGGGTGGAGGTCCCCATGGGGCCACGAAGCGTGTGAGGTGTGTGCCGAAATGGCCCGGGGCCGCCATGCGAGTTCCGCCACTGGGACCTTAGGTGGAGCTCCCTATGGGGCCACGAATCGTGTGAGGGGTGTGCCGAAACGGCCCTGGGCCACCATGCGAGTTCCGCCACTGGGACCTTAGGTGGGGCCACATATGGGGCCACGAAACGCCTGAGGGGTGTGTCGAAATAGTCCGAGGCCGCCATGCGAGTTCTTCCACTGGGACCTTAGGTGGAGGTCCCTATAGGGCCACGGTCCTCGTGAGGGGTGTGCCGAAATGGCCCGAGGCCGCCATGCGAGTTCCGCCGTTGGGGCCTTCGGTGGAGGTCCCTATGGGCCCACGCAGCGTGTGAGGGTTTGTGCCGAAATGGCCCGAGGCCGCCATGCGAGTTCCGCCACAGTGACCTTGGGTGGAGGTTCCCATGGGGCCACGAAGCGTGTGAGGGGTGTGCCGAAATGGTCCGGGGCCGCCATGCGAGTTCCGCCACAGTGACCTTGGGTGGAGCTCCCTATGGGGCCACGAAGCGTGTGAGGGGTGTGCCAAAATGGCCCTGGGCCGCCATGCGAGTTCCGCCACTGAGGCCTTCGGTGGGGTTCGTTATGGGGCCACGAAGCGCTGTATTGGGTGGGTGACATGCACAGGGAGGGAGGAGGAGAGGAGGAAGAGGAGGAGGAGGAGGAGAAGGAGGAGGGGGAACGCGGGGCACCGTCTCTTCAAAACGAGGACCCAACACCACATGATGGTTGGGAACAACGTTTAGGTCTAGCCCTGAAACCAGGGGCAACGTCAGGGTTGGACAGGCGCATGGCGGAGCCGTCCACTGTCCACGCTCGCTCGCCGCTCCCTCAGGGTCGATCGAGAAACCGTACTCAATTTGAGGAGGGGTGAAGGGTCAAGTCGGGCCTTGTCCCTTCACGCGAAGAGTATTTTAAAAAGGTAGTATAACAATAGTGTGGGACGATGTTTTGAGTATGTTTGGCTATGTTACAGTAGTGTTGAGTAGTTTTCATGTTTAATCCAACATTCGCCTGTAGGAGGACATGCCCGACCTAAATGACGGGGGGATACGCTCACGGGGATCTGCTCTGACCCGCAATCGTTCATCCATCGTCGATACACCCGCCCAGGAACGCGCGGATTCGCAACCAGCTATATATCACCCGATTTCGGGTCGATGTTTGCCCCGTGGGCTGGTCCACCCCTATCGGTTCCCCTCGCCTCCATCAAGGGGTTATGTTCAAGATGACTGTTTTTCCTCAGTTCGAGAAGCCGTCCCCTGAAGAAACGTACTTCGAGCGAGGCCTCAGGCCTCTCAAAAGGAACTGTCCGTGGAGAGGTCCAAGTTCCAGGCGGAGGGAGTCCCAGTGGAATGTTTCCTTGTTCGGCGTAGTCTTAAGTCGGGCGTGTCCCTCTACAGGAGGAATATTCAAAAACTAGTCACAAACGTCGGGTGCCGATGTTTTTTTTGGGGGGGTAAGTTTCGACTATGGTTGAACATGTGTTTACTATTGTTTTATGTTTCGTCCCGAGTCCGCTTGTAGGGGGACGCGCCCGACCTCAGGGTGGAATTGGGTGGAATTGGCTTGCAGTTGGGTGGAACTGGCACTGGGTAAATAGTAATGTGGAATTGGTGCTACGTGTGGGTGGAGACCCAAGGGGACCCCTGTGTTCGCCCCGTGGCCACGTTGGTAGGCGTGGGCAACGCTCTCGCACGCGGGGGCGGGTCAGGCAGGAAAGTTGATGAAAACGGAAATCAATTAGCTTGGCGAAGGACCCAACCATATGCAGTTGTGAATGCCGCAGTTGTGAATACCATCTTCGCCCGCGTTCCCTATGTGGCCACGGTTTCCCGCCAGAGCCCGACATGCCCAGGAACACGTTCGTGGCCGTCTTCGCGGGCGCCGACGACGACAAGGACGGCGTCGGTCTGACCGAGGAGCAGAAGGAGGAGCGGGCTTTGAGAGCCATGAGGGAGGAGGTGTCGGTGCACGTCGAGAACGCGAAGTGCGACGCCCAGGCGCGGTTGTTGAATCAACACAACTATGGGGCCACGATCCTCGTGAGGGGTGTGCCGAAATGGCCCGGGGACGCCATGGGAACCGCGCCGCTGGGGGCCTTCGGTGGAGCTCCCTACGGGGCCGCGATCCTCGTGAGGTGTTCGCCGAAATGGCCCGAGGCCGCCGCACGAACCCGGAGGCCTTCGGTGGAGGTCCTATGGGGCCACGAAACGTGTGAGGGGTGTGCCGAAATGGCCCTGGGCCGCCGCGCGAACCCTGCCACTGGCGCCGTCGGCGAAGCTCCATAAGTGGCCGCGATCCTCGCGAGGGGTGCGCCGAAATGGCCCAAGGCCGCCATGCGGTGGAGCTCCTACGGGGCCGCGGTCCTCGTGAAGGGTGTGCCGAAATGGCCCGAGGCCGCCATGGGAACCCTGCCGCCGGGACCCTTCGGTGGAGCTCCCTATGGGGCCACGATCGACGTGAGGGGTGTGCCGAACTGGCCCGGGGCCGCCGTGCGCACTTTGCTATTGGCGCCTTCGGTGGAACCCCTTATGAGGCCACGATCCCCGCGAGGGGTGTGCCGAAATGGCCCGAAGCCGCCATGCGCACTTTGCTACTGGTGCCTTCGGTGGAGCTCCTACGGGGCCACGATCCTCGTGAGGGGTGTGCCGAAATGGCCCGAAGCCGCCATGCGCACTTTGCTACTGGCGCCCTCGGTGGAGCTCTTATGGGGCCACGATCCTCGTGAGGGGTGTGCCGACATGGCCCGAGGCCGCCATGCGAACTTTGCTACTGGTGCCTGTGGAGCTCCCCGTGGGGCCATGATTGTCGCGAGGGGTGTGCCGAAATGCCGCCATGCGCACTTTGCTACTGGCGCCTTCGGTGGAGCTCCTGTGGGGCCACGATCCTCGTGAGGGGTGTGCCGAAATGCCCCGAGGCCCGTATGCGCACTTTGCTACAGGCGCCTTCGGTGAAGTTCCTATGGGGCCACGGTCCTTGTGAGGGGTGTGCCGACATGGCCCGAGGCCGCCATGCGCACTTTGCTATTGGCGCCTTCGGTGGAGCTCTTATGGGGCCACGATCCTCGTGTGGGGTGTGCCGACATGGCCCGAGGCCGCCATGGGAACCTTGCCAGTGGGACCCTTCGGTGGAGCTCCCCATGGGGCCACGATATTCGTGACGGGTGTGCCGAAATGGCCCGAGGCCGCCATGCTCATGTTGCTACTGGCGCCTTCGGTGGAGCTCCTATGGGGCCACGGTCCTCGTGAGGGGTGTGCCGAAATGGCCCGAGGCCCGTATGCGCACTTTGCTACAGGCGCCTTCGGTGAAGCTCCTATGGGGTCGCGATCCTTGTGCAGGTGATGATGACGATGATGACGATGATGATGATGATGGTGATGATGATGATCATGATGATGGTGATGGTGATGGTGATGGTGATGATCATGATGACCATGATGACATCGATGCGAGGAGAAGGGAAGGGGCAGCGGGAGGAGGAAGGAACGCGGGGCGCTGACTCTTCAAAACGAGGACCCAGCACCACAGGATGGTTTGGAAAAACACATGTGCGTCCGCTGACCATCTGGTATAACCCCCCCCTCCTTTGCCTCTCGGGACGGAGCCGCGGGGGGGAGACGCAAACGGCATAGGAGATGGGTTTGGTGGGAGGGCGCGAGATCGAGATCGTCTTCCGCACCATCATCATAGGCATCCGCATCACCATCGTGATCTTGAGACAAGGGTATGCGGATGTGGCAATTTGCTCCGGGCAAGCGGGGTCCCTATCATCACTGCATCGTCACCGCATCGTCGTAACAGTCTTCCCCGTCTTCGCCACGCCATCTCCACATCAACGTCGACACATCGTCATCACATCGCCATCATCACCACAATCAGTATCAGCATCAGCATCAGCATCACCACCACCGTCACCATCACCAACGTCATCATGATCATGATCATCCTCATCATCAGCAGCAGCAGTATCATCAGCAGCATCATCATCACCATCAGCATCGTCGTCATCATCCCCATTATCAGAATCATCATCAGTATCAGCATCATCATCATCAGCATCCCCATCATTATCGTCATTACCAGCAGTATCATCATCATTGTCACCATTCTCATCATCATCATGTTCGTCGTCGTCAACATAACCACCACCACCATCATCAGCGTCGCCATCATCATCACCAGCATCATCATCACCATCGTCATCATCATCAGCACCATCAGCATCATCATCACCACCACCATCACCAGCATGAGCATCAGCAGCATCATCATACGCATCATGATCATCATCAGCAGCATCATCGTCATCTTTACCATCATCACCACCATCATCACCACCATCATCATCATCATCACCATCACCATCACCATCACGTTCATCATCATCATCATCATCATCATCATTGTCATAATCCCCATCATCATCATCAACATCATCATAATCATCATCAGTAGCATCATCATACCTATCATCGTTGTCATCCTCATCATCATCCGCACCTTCATCATCAGCATCATCATCACCATCACCATTATCATCTTCATCATCAGCATCAGCCTCAGCCTCAGCATCATCAGCATCATCATCATCCTTCGCCGCCGCCGCAGAGCCGCAGCCGCAGCTGCCGCCGTCGCGCCATACTCTCCCGCCGAGCCCGAGACGGCGGGGGGGGGGAGTTCGCGCCGGGCCCGCCCTGCGTCGTGACGAGCGTCGCCCCCGACAGCCGCGCGGAGGCGCTAGGCGGGCCCCCGCGCCTGCACGGGAGGAGGGCAGTGCGAAGCGGCCGAAGGCGAAGTCCGCAGAAGGGTACACCGCGACACGCCCCCACACACACACACACGCACACACACACACACACACACACACACACGCACACACACACACGCACACACACACGCACACACACACACACACACGCACACACACACACACACACACACACACACGCACACACACACACACACACACACACACACACACACACGCACACGCACACACACACACACGCACACACACACACACACGCACACACACACACACCACACGCGCGCACACACACACACTTCTACTTCTCGTTCTCGACCTCGACATGGCTTCTGAAGGGGTTCGTTTGTGGAGGAGGTATGGCTTTCGTGGTTTCTTGCAGGCCTCCTCTCTCCAGCATTCTTTCCAGCAGCTGAGCCTCGTCAGTACCGCCCTGGGGTTGCCCGAGTCGTCCCGAACGGCCTCTGGGGTTCTGAAGACCCGACCTCGAACCCGAAAGCTATCCGGGGGATGCATGAGGCATCGATACACCACAACCATGCCTGGCCACTGCGGTGGAGCCTTCTCGGCCAGGAGGGCGTAATGGCAAAGCCAAGGATGGCCACGGCTGGGCACGGTGGTGTCCCAGCGCCTTCTATCAAGGGAGCCAAAACCACCCAGACCCGACAATTGGCGCTTGGGTGCGTTTGTTCAACGGTTTCGCGTGCTGGGGTGATTACTGGGGGGGGATTTTCTGCCCTCAACTCTACGCACAGGGGGACGGCGGAGCGAGAGGGTGAGGAAAGTGGTGGCCCAAAGGTGCTTTAGCAGACTGGCCCCCTCCTGCTCACTTTCGGGGTCTCCTTCTGCCCACGTGCTCACGTCTCGAAGGGAAGCTGGCAAGGGTCGGCACGAAGGGGACGATCTGGTTGCGCTTGAATATGGAGGAGTTATTCATGTGTGTGTGTGTTTCTAGTGTTTACTGAGTATGTTCGAAGGTTTGCAGCGTTTGTTCCCCACGGAGGAGGAGGAGGAGGATCAGGAGGAGGAGGAGGAGGAGGAGGAGGAGGGGGAAGAGGAGGAGGAGGAAGAGGAGGAGGAGAGATGGCATGATGTTGGCAATGGAGCTGTCGGAAGGAGGACCCTGGCTGGAGCTGCAGTTTTTTTTCGGAGGGCACTGAACGCGCGTCATGTGGCATCCAACCCACCCAGCCACCCAGTAGATAACAGAACGCCCGCCGCCCCACCCACCCCCGTTGCAGCAGAGCCTGTTGCTCAGCGCGTAGGTATGGTGTTCGCACCGCCGTTTGCGAAACAAGTGGCACGCGTGCCCTGGCTCTTGCACATTTGAGGAGAGCAAGAGGAGGAGGGGCATGTGGGGGGCGAGAGGGCCAGGGGATGGGGGGCCAGAGCCAGGGGGACGGAACCACGAAAATAACAGGTCCGGGGCGAGGAGGGCTGGGGCCAAGGCCAGGGTCGGGGCGAGTGGGGGTCCAGGGCCAGGGCAGGGGGACTGAAGCTCGGACCAGGGGCCAGAGGTCCGGGTTCGAACCACGAACACACACGGTTCGGGGCGAGGAGGGCTGGGGCGAAGGCCAGGGTCGGGGCGAGTGGGGCCAAGGCCAGGGAACAAGCTGAGTTCAGCCAGGGCCAGAGGGTTGGGGCTCGGATCAGAGGCCAGAGGTCCGGGTTGGGGCGAGTAGGCGAGGGGGGGCGGCCCACAGCCAGGGGGACGGGGGCGAGGGGAAGCGGGCCACAGCCACGGGGACGACGACAAACCACGAACCACGAAAATAAAAGGGCCAGGGCGAGGGGGGCTGGGGCCAGGGCCAGGTGGCGCCAGAGCCAAGGAGGGCGGCTGGGTTCAGGGCCAGGGCAGGAGGACAGGGGGCGAGGGGGCCACGGGAAGCAGGCCAGACCCAGGATGGCCCCGAGACGCCCCCCGAGGCATTCCAAATAGTCGTGACCCTGTCGTTCAGCGAGGCCGCGGCTGGACGCAGGGATGGCCCGAGGAAGCCCCCAGAGGCCGCCCAGAAGGCGCCCAGGAGGCTCCGAGAAGGCCCCGGGAAGCCCTGAACAACTCTCGTGAGGCCCCCAAGAGAGGCTCTCCAAGAGGGACGCTCCGCAAGAAGCTGGTGAGGATGGGTAGCGCCGCCGTTTGCGCAGTAAGCGCCCACCCTTAGAGAAGGCCAGAGCGCCCCGCCCCCGCGCCCCGCCTCTCCGCGTCGGACACTGAATGCGCCAAAAAGGAGCGCGACGTGTTGCGAAATAGACGCCCCACTCCTGCGTGGGGGCACCGCCTCCTCGTCAACCTTGACACGCGGGGGGGAGGGGGGCGAGCTGTGTCGTCTTTTCACCGATGCCTGAGATGGGCGCTTATTTCGCAAACGACGGTAGTGCTCGAAAAAAAGTGGTTGCAGTGTGCGCAAGCGTGCGTTTGTGGTATTTCGAGGCGCGTGGCGCGCGCAGGCAGTTGTGGCCCCCGCAGGCGCGGCGACGCACTCGGCAGTGAAAGAAATCTGTATCGTCGGCGGCTAGGCAGCGGGTGACGGCGCTGGCGATAAATGGCATGAGCGGGGGCAGTGAAAGAAACAGACAGCTCGATGTGCATAGCGCACACGCCAGCTGCGGCGGCACCTGTGGTGCACACAGGCGTGGTGGTGTTTAGATATGTTTGGCATTGTAGTATACACAGACACTGTTGTGCGCGCAGGCAATGGGCGGGGGGGGTCGTGCCTGGAGCAATTAAACAACAATGATCGCAAACAACTTACATACTGAATGTGGTACGTTCGGGCCGACCACGGGTTGCTGGAGCTTGACACCGCCGGGGCTCTGCAGGTGTAAACGGATTTCGTGGTGTACGCAGGCATTGTGATGTACACGCTGGCGGCGTATACAAGCACAGAGGTGCATGCGTACGCATTTGCCCACGTATATTCCATATGGTTACGCCATGCCGCAGGCCCACAGGCCTTGTTGTGTCCACGGGCTATGTGGTGCATACAGATGGTGCCGCGGCAGCTGAGGTAGCCCCACACATTGTGATGCTCGCCGGCACGGATGTGCACAGAGGCAACGCGGTGTGCACAGGCATTGTAGGTTCAAAACGGGGATCCCGAACCCCAGGCCACAAATGGTTTACATAGTGGATTGGATATGCTCGGGCCCCCGGCGATTTTCGAGATTGTAGAGTTAAGTCGGGCATGTCCTTCTACAGGAAGGATATTCAAAAATAGTCAACAAATAGTCGGGTGACGGTTTTTGTGTTACAAATATTTGACTATTGTTTGAAGTGTTTTGTTTTTCATTTTCCTTTCAAAATCCGCCTGCAGGAGGACATGCCCGACCTAATTGTAGAGGCTTCTGACCTGTGCCCCCGAGCAGGGACGCTCGGGGACGCTCCGTGCGAACTCGTCATCCTGTTTGATATGTTGTGAGGCTTACTTCGAGGGGGCACAAGAGAGGACGAGGAAGGAGGAGGAGGAGGAGGAGAAGAAAGGGGAGGAGGATGAGGAGGAGGGGAAAAAGGAGGAGGAGGAGGAGGACGGGAAGGAGGGTGTTGGCAGTCGCCTCAGGCAGTATGATGTATTGGGTGGAACATTTGCGTCGTGTCCGTATGTCGAGCTTGATGGCGTGCTAGTTCTTTGACGGGTTGGCTCGTCGTTGGGTCGTTGGGCTTGGGAACCCCGCAACCGCTGGTTTCGCCGACGCCTGGTTTCGCCGCCCGGCGAAACCAGCTGCCGTCGGCGAAACCAGCTTCCATCGGCAAAACCAGCTGCCGTCGGCGAAGCCAGCTGCCGTCGGCGAAACCAGCTGCCGTCGGCGAAACTGCCCGACCCGACCCGCCCGCTAGGGTCCGCCCGCCCGACCCGACCCGCCCGTTAGGGTTCGCGCGTGTTCGGTCGAGCGTGCCCCACATTTTAATGTCCCGCCCGCCCGACCCGACCCGCCCGCTGGTGTCCGCCCACCCGACCCGCCCGTTAGGGTTCGCGCGTGTTCGGTCGAGCGCGCCCCACACTTTAATGTTCCGCCCGCCCGACCCGACCCGCCCGTTAGGGTCCACCCGCTCGACCCGACCCGTCCCGCCCGCTAGGCACAATTTATTGTCCCGCCTGCCCGACCCGACCCGCCCGTTATGGTCCGCCCGACCCAACCCGACCCGCCCGCTAGGGTCCGCCCGACCGACCCGACCCGCCCGCTCGGGTCCGACGCCCGACGCCCGACGACGACGACGACGACGACGACGACGACGACGACGACGACGACGACGACGACGACGGTCGACGATGATGACGACGGCGGCGGCGGCGGCGACGGCGACGGCGACGGCGACGGCGACGGCGGCGTCGGCAAAACCAGCGTCGGTAAAACCAGCGTCGGCGAAACCAGCCGCCGGCGAAGCCAGCGTCGGCGAAACCAGCGCCGGCGAAACCAGCGCAGGCGAAACCATGTGCCGGTAGCCCCAGCCTCGGCCTGGCCCCCGGCCTTTGGCCCCGGCCCCAGCCTGGGCCCCAGCCCTGGCCCTGGAAAATGGCAGACACCCCAACAACCCCACCCTCTTTCCTTGGCAGTGCCACCTCGGCAACCCCCTCAGCAGATCTGAAGCTCAAGCTGTAGTTTTAAACTGAAGTTCAGTCTTAAACTCACACGCCGCATCTGCAGATTTGGGCCCCGTCGGGGCCCAGGAGATGCACAGAAGCGCATGGTGCCTGCGTGCGCAGTGCGCTGTGGCTCACGCGGCCCCTGTGGTGTGCTCGACCATCGGGGTTTACACTGGCGTTGTGGTCCACGCAGTAGCTTGTGTTGCAGCAGCACCTGCTGTGTGCAAGAATGTTGGGGTGTACGCGTGCACTGGTGTGTTTTCAGGCGTCGCGATTGGTTTGAGTGTCGGTGCTCAGTGACAGATTGGATTCGAGCGACGAGGGCATGGTGTGGTGCAAACATGCGCTACGTCCGAAATTCGCCATGCTGATGCGCGCGCAAATGACTCCACTGGCGAGTCCATAAAAACAGGTGGGGAGTCAGGATGGGTCCCCGTCGGAGTCCCATGGGGGTCCTTCAGAGTCCCCTCACGGTTTCCGCGGAGTTCCCGTTTGGGTTCCTCTAGGGTGCCCCCAGGGTCCCTACAGGGTTCCCACAGGACTTCCAATGAGCTTCCCGCAGGGTTCCCGCAGGGCCCCCGTAGGACTTCCAATAGCGGATTCCTAGGATTCCAATACGGATTCCTAGGCTTTCCCGTTGGACTTGTTCCGTAGGATTCCCGCAGCGGCCCGGCGCGGCTGTGTCATGTCGTGTGCCAGCGAACCCACCCGTCCACCCAGCCGCACGACGCGGGGGAAGGGAAAGGGCTGCAGATGGGCAGGTGCGGAGGGGAAGCGGGAGGAGGAGGAGGAGTAGGAGGAGGAGGAGGAGGAGGAGGAGGCCAAGGATGAGAAGAGGCAGAGAAAAAGAGAAAGAGAAAGAGGAGGAGGAGGAGGAGGAGGAGGAGGAAGAGGAGGAGGAGGAGGAGGAGGAGGGGGAGGAGTAGCAGGAGGGTGGTAACTGAGCGACGCTGTGGACTCACTGCGGCGGGCGCACGCGGATCATCCGAACGGAGCAGTGCTTCCGGCGTGAAGCGGGAGGAGGAGCAGGAGGAGGGCACTTGATCGACGTTGTAGATCCATAGCGGCAGGCTCACGCAGTGCATCCCACGGAGAAGCGCATTGGCGAGGAGGGGACACTCACGCATGGGGAGGTACAGGACGGGTCGAGAACAATTGCCGTTGTTGTTGTGTATCTCCTTCTCCTGCGCTTCTTTCTCACCGTCCTGATCCGTGCACTGAACGCAAAAAACTCCACAGCTTTTGAAAAGAGAGGTGGCAGCGAGGGGAATACCGAAATTACTTGCCGTTTTTTCTGGAGGTTCTCGCGGGCTTCACAGGACGTCGCACTCGAGAGTTTCCCGACTATCTGCCAGGATCACAGTAGGATGTTACCAGCTTTTGGCTACGCTCTCCATGAATTCTTTGATCGTTCAGTGGGCGGTATATGATATTCTCAGGCAAGGGCGTTGTAGAGTGCTGGTTGTTAACTGTTGTCGTCATAGTCATATTCTTCCTCTGCTGTATTCATATGATACGTCTCTCTCCTGCGCTGGAGAAACAGGCATCCGCAGGCATACAAGCTGGCTGGGCGTTGATCGAGGTGAGTGGCATGAACGTGTCAGGCACTCGAGCCACTTCGACTCACATTGCTGATGGCTGGAACTCATCGAGCCTCCCTTGCTCCTTGGCGCGCTGAGTTGGCGGAGGTGTTTCTCAGCGTTCGATCATACACACGCTCGCACCCAAGGGGGCTTGACCGAATCATGTCCGAGACGCCCGCGGGCAGGTGGATCGTTGGCGCCGACAGGTCCAGCGATCTGCGTGTATTTGGATCGCTCGCTGGCCTTGATCGGGGCCGATGGGCCGGTCTGATTGGATCGTGCGCACTAAAGTCCAGACCATAAAATTTGTTTCACATGCCACCCCCCCTTCTCTTCCACACATACCGTCTCGGTTTCCCTGCATTCTTCTCCACAGAGAAGTGCAGGGGAATGGTCAGTAGATATGGCCACAGGTCCCCCCCTCGTTGCACCAAGGTCGGACGCGAACGCGGGGCGCGTGTACACTCTGCTGAGACTGGCCCGAGACTCGGACAAATGTGGAGTATTGGCGGGAGGATTCATGCTCAATTCTTTCTGTGGTCCGATGCGTGTTCATTGTCAATGCTGTTGGTTTGATGGTCCAGGGGTTCATGCGCATGCAGATTGTCGTTGATGTTGGTCCGATGACATGCTCAGCCTTTGCCGTTCGCCTCGACGTATGTGTCGCCCAGCGGCGTTCCTTCGGCAAGGTGGAAGGTCTCCCTCAGGGACGCTCCCACTCGCGCAATTACGCGTCGCTCTCGCTCATGACGCACTGCCCCTTGAGAGTCGCGTAAGAGACATATCTTCCAAGGCAAAGATTCCATTTGGCAGCCTTGAAGATCTGGTCTCGGTCGCCTTTCATTCTTCGCACCTAGTTATCTCCCTGATATTTCAAACAACGTGCACAAGTTGACAGGCCGACGTATAGTTCGAAATAGTAACACCCGGCTCTACAATCCCCATGAAGATAAGAAGGTAATGAAATCAACTATTTTATTCCGTCTGCACATCGGGACGGAGTTTTGATCGGAGGTCCTCTCACTGCGTTATGAGGTTGACCTCCACTGTTCGCTTTCAGGTAAAAGTCGGCACGAGAGGTATGGATACTTAAGTGAGTATGTGTGTGTGTGCCTGTTCGGTTCTGGTGGCGAATTCGCGAGCGGAAAGTCACTGCAGATGAAGAAGGGGCGGGGGGCTGAAAAGTAATCCAGCATTGCGCAGGAGGTAGATTTTCTCACAGCCAAAGTTTGCGGGTAATTGGCCGCTGTTCGCAGATGGGGGTACGCACCGAGCATAACTCCAGTACAAAGACGGCAGATGCGGTGGGGGGACGCACCCAAAATTACATCGGGCGCAATTATTTCCACCAGTATGAGAGGATTGGTTAGTTGACACGTGATCCGCATGGTAGATTGGCGCCACCGGAGATGTGAGCCCACGGTCCAGTCTTCTCTCTGGGCAGTGAGGAGGAGGTGCAGGAGGAGGAGGAGGAGGAGGAGGAGGAGGAGGAAGAGGGGGCGAGGGCGCAGGAAAGGACTTACCGATTCCCCGAACAGGCCGTTAGTTCCTCCAGACGTCTGCGTCAGGAGAAAATGAGAGACGACGACGACGACGACGACGACGACGACGACGACGACGACGACGGCGACGACGACGACGACGAGAAAATGAGGGACGACGACGAAGACGACGACGACGACGACGATGACCCAGGCCTCCCAAACGGGGTCCGAGTAGATGGGGTCGGAGGACCGTGCCGCGTCGCCGATGCCTCGGCGACTCGGCGCGACCCAGAGCCCGACGATCTCCATCCCAATGCTGCAGACGAGTCGACGATGCATTGGCGATGCGGTGAGATCTTCCGACTCCAGGCCTCATCCACTCTGGCCCCATTTGGGAGGCCTCGAGATGCCCCAGAGCAGGAGGGAGTGAAGAGATGGAGGGAGGGGCAGGAGGAGTGGAGGATAAGGAAGGGGAGTCGGCCAGCAGGAAGAGGACGGGGAGGAGGCGGAGGGAGGCGCAGATGGCGGCGGAGGTCGAGGGAGAGGACGAGGACGAGGAGAAGAGGACGAGAACGAGGCAGAGGATGATGGCGAAGGATGGCGACCATGGGGCGCGGTGCGTCAGCGGGAGCCACAGAGCGAGGGGTGCGCGGGCGCACCCGCCCGCGGTCGTCCGGCCCCCCCTATCGACTTCGGGCCTCTCCGCCGCTCGAGGCTGTTCGGGATCGGCTCCACCGTTGGCACGCAGCCTCTCACTCTCTCTCTCTCTCTCTCTCTCTCCTCCTCCTCCTCTCCTCCTCCTCCTCCTCCTCCTCCTCCTCCTCCTCCTCCTCTCCTCCTCCTCCTCCTCCCTCCTCCTCTCCTCCTCCCTCCTCCTCCTCCTCCTCCTCCTCCTCCTCCTCCTCCTCCTCCTCCTCCTCTCCTCCTCCCTCCTCTCCTCCTCCTCCTCTCTCTCCTCTCCTCCTCCTCCTCTCCTCCTCCCTCCTCCTCCTCCTTCCTCCTCCTCCTCTCCTCTCCCTCCACCTCCTCGCTGGTGCCCCGCGCCTCGAGCGACCGAGCCCCGTTGCCGCGCCTCTCACTCTCTCTCTCTCTCTCTCTCTCTCTCTTCGGGGGTGGACAGAACCCCCCCCCTGACACGTCGAGTAGTGAATTGTCCGTCTTCGGTGCTCGAGGGGGCGCCGCGGCCGCAGTTTTCCAGGCTCGCGCCCGCCAGGCTTGGGCCCGAGGTCGCTTTCACCAAGACACGTTTTACGAAAGGGGGTTCTGTGCATCCCCGAGCAGCCTCTCACGCTCTTTCTTTCTCTCTCTCTCTCTCTCTCTCTAGTTACAACTCTCTAGTTACAGTAGGTTCGCGTCGTGTCGACAGGCGGCGATCCCGTCGCCGGCGTTAACCTTTGATCGCCGCCGGCGACCCAGAATCGGGCGATGTTGAACGATTTGGACATTTCGGAAACGGCCGATCTTTCAAGGTGGAGCGATCCCCGCGGTGTGAGGAACTAACGCTGGGGTCGTCACGACGCGAACTTGCCGTATCGTTTCCTCCTTGCCCGTTATGTTGTCCTCCACCCTATCATGTTTTTGTCCCTCTTCCTCGCCCTCGTATGGCCAGAGTCTTTGGAAGGTGCCAACCTGCTCTGCTCCGCCGACGGCACGCGATCTGTGTCTCGAAGAAGAAGAACAGCAACAACAAAAAACGCAAACCCACTGCATAAGCATACCCCGTCGAAGGTTCGCGCGGATTCCTTAGATCGGCGCTGGACCCCCCATCCATGGCGCGCCGAGAGCCGGTGGGCGGCGCTAGAGGTGCCGCCAGGAGTGCCCAGCGCCGATCCAAGATATCCGCGCGAACCTCCGCAAGTTTATACTTATGCAGTTGTTTTTCCTGCTTGATGGGTAAGTCGGACACGTCCCTTTACAGGAGGAGTGTTCAGACATAGTTTTAAAAATACGATGGGGCGGATGTTTCCCCTGTTATTGAGCATTTGGGGTCATTTTTTGACTTGTTTAAATTTTCGTTCAAACTTCGCCTATCGGAGGGAGGACACGCCCGACCTAGCCCCAGGGTGGGCTTGGCCAGGGGCGGTGGACGTGCACAGATCTCGTTCCTCTGCAGCGCGCCGGTCTGCTGGGAAGAAGCTCTGGGGCGAGGAGACCGCCAAGAGCCAGCTTGCGCAAACCGTTTCGAAGATGAGGACGAAGAGTGCCGACTACACGTAAGAGTGCCCTTTCGCCGGAGTGACCTCTGGTGCGGGCCCAAGAGGGTCCCCCGATCGCCGAAGGCGATGCGGCGGTTGCGTCTTGCGCGCGCGTCTCGTCCCCTCGCGGCCCCCACAGAAGCCGCGCAACAGAGGTCACTCTTACCCAGGGTCGCTCTTGGGTGTAGTCGAGAGTGGATGAAGGGGGCGGTGGATGCCAGGGGCAACGTTCGGGAGGGACAGGCTCAAGGGGGATGCAGCGACCACGGACCACCCATGGATCGCCGGCAGGGGGCCGAGAGCCCACCAAGCCCAGGACCGCGCGGCGTCGCTGTCGGGGGCCTATCGGCGGGGTGTCGCCGATTCCAGGTCCATGCTTCCTCGGGAGGGGGGAGGGCTTCTCAGAAGCACCCCTGTTTCTTAGAAGGCGCGGCCCTTCTGTATAGATGTGGGGCCGCCGCCTTCTAAGAAGCCAGGCTCCTACCAAGAAGCCCTCCCCCCGCCCTCCACCCCCTTCTGCGCGCCGCCAAGTTCCCCTCCCGAGCCAGTCCTCCCTTCTCATTCCCCTTCCGTGGGGGGGAGGGGGGGGCAGTGGACGTGCGCAGCTCTCGGTCGCCCTGCAGCGCGGCGCTCTGCTGAGAGCCCCAGGGGCGAGGAACCCCCCAGGAGCCGACGAAGACCGCCCCGACGAGGACGAGAACTGGACGGAGGGAGGGTGGGCCATCTCGAGGATGAGGCCGAAGAGCGGATGGGGGGGGCAGTCTTGGCATCGCTTGGGCGTGTGCACTGTTGTCTCGGCGAGGGCCGTCGAGGAGCATTTGGGCCACCTCGCGAAAAGAGCACGCGCGAAACCGAAAAATGCACGGGGAATGGACGTCCAAGCGATGGCGAGGGCCGCCCTGCAGCGCGCCGCGCTGCTACGGTGCCCAAAGGTATACACCACCACCACCACCTACCTCATCCCCTCCCTCGCCCAGGCAAGAGGAGGGGAAGATGATCAGGCGATCGCAAACATGGATTTAGGGGGCGTGGATGAGCGACGGGTCCTTTTTCCATGGGAACTCGCGGACTTCCGCCGCCGAACGAGGCGGCACCGGCCGCATTTTGGGAAGGGCACCTCCCCCGATCCATGGACTTGGCGACCGCGCGCGAAAGCCATGGCGACGTGGTGGTGGTGGTGGTGCATATCCTTGGGGCCCGCATCTGCGGAGCCTCGCGCCTCGGGCGCGCGCCGCCCGAGGCGCTGGAGGGCGGCCGCCGCGAGCCCGCCGCGCGGCGGGCGGGGCTAGGCGCCGCGGCGGGCGGAGGAGGCTTTGGGGGGAAAGAAGTGGGGGGAGGAGTAGGAGGCCGCAAAGGAGGAGGAGGAGGAGGACGAGGAGGAGGCCAAGGAGGAGGCCAAGGAGGAGGAGGAGGAGGAGGAGGAGGAGGAGGAGAAGGAGGAGGAAGAGGAGGAGGAGGGAGGAGGAGGAGGAGAGGAGGAGGGAGGAGGAGGCCAAGGAGGAGGAGGAGGAGGAAGAGGAGAGAGGAGGAGGAGGAGGAGGAGGAGGAGGAGGCCGCCAAGGAGGAGGAGGAGGAGGAGGAGGCTAGGAGGAGGCCAAGGAGGAGGAGAGAGGAGGAGGAGGAGGAGGAGGAGGAGGGGAGGAGGAGGAGGAGGAGGAGGAGGAGGAGGAGGAGGAGGAGGAGGAGGAGGAGGAGGAGGAGGAGAGGAGGTGGTGGAGGATCAGGAGGAGGAGGAGGAGGAGGAGGAGGAGGAGAAGGAGGAGGAGGAGGAGGAGGAGGAGAGTTCGGTGAGTTCAGTGAGTAAGTGCACGCACGTGCTCGACTAGGCAGTCGGTGGAAGGAGGGCAGGGGGGGACGCGGGCGGCGCGCCTGGCGTTGAAGATGCCGCAGGCCGCCGTCGCGGGGCGGCGGCGGGGCGTCGGCGCGGGGGGGCTCTCTCCCTCGCTCGCTCCTCGCCGACCGCTCTCGCCGCCGCGACAGACGACGACGCCCCCGACACCACTCCCCTACAAGCCTCCTCACCACCGACCTTCCCTCCACAGCCCTCGGATGGGGGCGAGGGGACACTCGACGGAGGAGCCCCGCCCACAGGCGGAGTGAGAGGAGCACACTCAAACTCAGGCCGACAAATGAAGTCTCCATCCGCCTCAGGGACGGAAACAAACCTGATATACTCATTCAGGAGGACAGGCACAGCCTCGGACGAAGAAGACCGAGGGACAGACTGGGCTCTCGCAGCCTGGGCCTGGATCTCGGCGACCACAAGCGAAGAGGGTGGCCCACGGTACGATGGATAAAGGCCCTTCGCGAGGCGGCTCAAGTTCTCTCTCCCTTTGCGGGAGGGTGGAGCACAGGGGTTGGCCAGGTTGCGTCCATCAACCGCAGCCGTGAACCCGCAAACAGCACAAAACTTGAGACCGTATCGGGACCACTCCCTCAGGGCGTGGGAAGGATGCAAGTCCACGCCTCCAACCTTGGACGCCCCGCACACCGCCAGGAAACCGTCACCGAGGAAACGATCGCAGAGGGCAGCGGAGGAGGAAGGAGGATCAGGCCCAGCAGCCGTTGGGCAAATCGTGGCCGCGAATTCCAGGAGCGTAGTCCGAGACACTATCTGCGAGCACCCGGAACACATCCAACGATTGCTGCACCGCGACAGGCGATGCGACGAGGAGTCCAGGGCCCTAGCAAGCTTGGACTTGGACTGGGTCCTGGGCCTGGACACTCTGGGACCGAATTCAGGAGCAACCGCAACACTATCGATCAGAGCGCGCCGAGCTCTTCTGCGCACTAGCAAGGCAGTGGCATCCCAACGATCCGTGAACGGAATCGGGTGTCTGACCGACGTTTCCCAACCCCTCCTCGCCGCCCACCCCGCCCAGACATCAGCACATGCATTGCCGTGAGAGAGGAAGGCTTGAAACGGGGAGGTGATACGCTCGGGTTCAGCTTCCAGGTGGGAAGCAGTCCACACAACCTCCACGGACCCTGGTCCACGATTTTTGGCCGCCTGCAGGACCCTAACCCAGAGATCAGCATTTCGGCCATAAGGCCGTGCAGCGCGGCCAGACCTCCAGCCTTCAACAACAGGCTTGCAATCGCAAGCGTAAACGGTATCTCCAGACGAACCCTCGAGGCCCAAGGCCAGTGCCAGGAGCTCTGATCGGGGCACAGTCTGACGTCGTCCTGAGAGACAGGCAGCCACACCGCAGACGGGGAGCCACATAGCACCAGAAGGATCCCCGTCCAAGGCCCGACGCATGACTACCACCGCTGCTCCGCAGCGTCTCCGACGATCGCCTGAGCTGTGCTCACCCCCTGAGCCATCCCCAAACAGGTAAAGGGGGGGGGGGGGGCGCAGGGGCCGAGAGCTCCTTCAGCAAGCACTGGCCGATGAAAATAGGGTCAGAGAAACCAGGTCCCTCCTGAAATCGAGGAACAGTGAGACTGGCCGAAGGCACTCCCCTCAGCCACAAGGACGGGTCAAGGTCGGCATTCGCCAACGCCTGAGGGATGAGTGCGTCTGTGGACGTGTAATCAGGGTGGGGGCGATTTTTCTGACACGCCCAGATGCGGTGGCGCAGCGTCTCAGGGGCAGCTCTGCACCGTGGGCACCGACGATCGACTTGGTACCCAGCATCGCGCTGCCTCTGCTGCGTCCACTGGCCACCTGCTGTGACCGAGACCGCCGCGCCCCACAGGTCCATGTCGCCCTTCCTGGCGAAGGCCTCCAATTCACGCTGAATCCCATGCAGGTCGGCTCCGTCAGCGAGCTGTTCACCATCAGGA